ATTAACGATGGAAAATGGTGAAATTGGTTGAGACTTCGAAGAAACATTTTCTGAAGGCAAAAACGAGTAATCTTCAATTTATCGACTACTATCATCCCTGCACAAGACAACTCACTCGAATGATTATTATCCATCAATACCTACAGTACAGGATTCACTATTCCAGAAAATGGTACGAATGATATATAGTCTATTATTTCACTTCCCTGTACGAGTGAATGCGGTTCATGAATTATTTTGTTCATTTCATCAAACTATATTCAATTCTTTCAATGAATGTTGGTGAAAAGTCAATTACTCAAAATGTGAAAGACTGTTATTGAAGTGAGATGAATACAAATGCATCTAAACCACGATATTTCAATTGATGAATCTCTAGAACTGAAAGGAACATTTTCTGTAAATATTGAGATGACTGAAGAATGGAAGTAGCAGATTCGACGTGAATGAAGTGATCAAAGAGAAATTATCATCAGAAGCTATCGAAAAATAAAATTGAAAGAAATAAAATGGAGAAGAATATTTTAGAGACGAGCTGTTAAAATACATCATTTCCAATTACGGAATAAGATTAAATGAGACTACGTAGACCCAACTGCTGTTCCAACTTATCAAATACCAGACTTCAAGACCCAAATAGTGATAATTCTCCAATCTTCATGAGTAACCAGCTAAAAAAGTACAGCAGTGTTCACCCCCTTCTCTTCTCAACTATGAAATCCGCCTCTGCAGAAGGTTTGAGAATTTTGGAAAAACTTTAGAATTTCAGTCGAAACAAATGATAACAGGAATCAAAGTCGAGTCCAAATTGTTCACAGCGACTCCTAAATTCTGCTTCTTCATCTTCACAAAAAAAGTGGAAAACTCCCAAAGGAAAAAAAAAAGCTAATGATTTCAGAAATAACTCTCCATACAGTGCAAATCATAAATAGAAGTTACTTTCAGATACACACTTGATGAAAAAACCTCTCCTGTAACAAATATTTCCATATAATATAAACAATTATTTCCATATAAACACGAGACAAAAAATACCTTTCGCTCACATGGCGGACATTAATGCATGATTAACACTTCTATGTGAACAGTTTCCTTCCTTTGGGAGTCAGAAGTTCCCTCTCTCACAAATTCATTCGTGACTCAAAATGTCTCTCAGTTGATGAGAATAATCCATATTACTGGAGTTTTTTTCAACACCAAACCCCTTCTTTTACACCTCGACGTGTTTCGATCACCAAGTGATCATTTTCAAGAGGAAGATCAAACTGATCTTGAAGATGATCACTTGATGATCGAAACACGTGTCGAGGTGTTGAAATGACTGTTTGGTGTTGGGAAAAAACTCCAGTAATATTCATTACTACACCAAAACTTCCAAACAGTGCATCAAAGGAGAATAATCCAGGTTAATGACTATTTGAAACTGTACTACATTATTATTATCAAGCTTATAATCAAATATTTTATATTCAGATGTTTCATATATATCTAATCGTAATACTGATCAGAATGATGAGAGAGCTGCTTGCAAGGTCGGAAGAAACTTGATCACAAACGGTTGTCGTCACGTTTGCTCATGATGATAAACAAAAATTAATCAGAAGATCACTCTATTCGAGATTTAAAATGAATATTTCATGTAAATATATAACTGATTTACGATTACTTGAAAATATTATACCGGGTGTTTTTGGAGAGTATCAGCCGATATAAGGAACTTTATTTACAGATCAATATAATTGAATTTTCTGAAATTTGATTGATCGCATGATGACTCACAGGCAGTTCTTTGCTTTGAAATCAACTATATTCCTTCTGAACTGGAAATATAAGATATTACATCATTGGAAACGATACCTAGAGAAACTATCAAGTTCGATTTGAGTAAAACAACTAGCCCGAGTGAGCTATTATACATGAGAAAGACAAAAAGAGAACAAAAAATCGTAAAAAAATACTCCCAAATGAAACGACTGTAACATATGTCAAGTAAAGATCTGAGAGGGAAGATATCACATCATTCGAATTCAGAAGAAAGAGAATGCTGGAAATGAGAATTTTTATGTTTATCTTCCTTTTTTCTCCACGAATTATTTTTTCGATAAGCTATTTTGTATATAATCATAATCCATGTTGTAGATTGATAACATCAAAAAGTTTTTATTGACCTCCTTTGGATATTTGTGCCATCCACGATCTGAAAAATATGGAAATTATAATGAAGAACTATATATACAAGCGTAGATAGAGCAAACTTTTCAGTTTTTCCTGTTTACTGCGTAAATTCAAAGTATTTTTCACAAAGAAAAATGCTATATCAGTAACTCGTCTTATTTAATAATTTTGCCTATCAAAAAAATAGCTAAGGAATAATATATTACTTATCTTAACGTTCCAGTGGCCAAAATTCCTTACACAAATCAAACAAGTTTTGACTTCTGTCTTATTCAAAAAGTTTTATATGAATTAATCTTCAAATACAAAGAATACAAATACTCATACACATATGCTTCGAAATCTCTTGAGTGTGTGGGAGCAGCCGTCGTCACAGGATATACGGAACATGTTTATCGTCTGCCGCCAATCTGTAGTATTCATTCAGGTGAGTTATACGCTATAGATAGCCCAAGCTGTTGAACACTGTGAAAGACTGAAACGTAACTCTGTTATTTTCACCGATTCTCTCAGCAAAATCCATGGAATCAGACAGCTATACCCAAACAATACACTGCTTGTTCGTATTGAGTAAGAGTTAACCAAGCTAATGCAGAATCTGAAATATATTTAACTATATATGACAATGCGATAAGGAAACTACTAACTCTGTTATTTTCACCCATCCTCTCAGCAAAATTCATGGAATCAGACAGCTTCACCCAAACAATTCACTGCTTGTTCGTATTGAGAAAGAGTTAACCAAGCTAATGCAGAATCTAAAATATATTGAACTATATGACAATGCGATAAGGAAACTACTAACAAACACTTGGAAAGAAAAATGAACGGCCATTGAAACAAATAAATTACGAAGGATAAATCCCTACATGCGCTCCCAAAACTACCAATCGGCCCAAAGAAGACATCATCAAGTCATTCTAACTCGTCTTAGAATCGGAGACACAAAACTTACTCACCACCCCTTGAGAAGACAGAATATGTTGTGGAATGTGATGTTCGTGTTGTAGAGTGCCCAGTTTTTGAATGTGAAACACAAGAGGCAAGAAATACTAATGATGTCAGTTCTGCATCAGATGTAGTAAACTGAACCATTCATTAACTTTTTTGAAATATATTTATATATTGGATAAAATATATTTATATCTAATCGTTCCTCCACATCGAGACCAATATGCATACAGGTCAGGTATGTCAACAGAAATGGCTTTATGTCGGGTAACAGAAAAAGTAGAACATACTTACAAAAACAAGGAAGTAAGTTTAGCTGCTTTCTTGGACATTGAGGGTGATAATACGTCGTCAGAATCAATCATCCAGGCGTCGAGGAGAAGAGGGAACGACAAGACAAGCTGTAGGTGGATAGACTGCATGCTTAGGGGAAGATTGGTATATAAAACCATTATGGGGGAAACAGTCGTGGCACGGATAGCAAGGGGCTGTCCTCAGAGGGGGTTCTATCCCCTCTGTTATGGAACCTTGTAATGCACGAGCTATTATGTCTCTTGGACCACAATGGGTAAAAAGCACTGGGCTATGCAGAAGACTTAGTCATCTTAGTCCAGGATAAATACAATAATGTAGTGAGGGATGGATGCAGCAGACCCTGAGTACCTATTATAACAAGATGAACCGAAGAAGAAGGGCTCAACATAAGCCCATCCAAATCGACCATAGTAGCATTCACCAAGAGGACTGAAACGGAGGGTCTCGGACCTCTGAAATTTCGATGAATAAATACCAGTGTCGGGAATGATGAATATCTGGGAGTAATCCATGTCCTGAACCCGTTCTGGAGGTACCAAAATCATTGATACGAAACCAGATTAGGACATGGACCAATAAGCAGCAAACAGAGTACTGGACAAAAGTACTTGGCAACAAACACAGTAGAACCTTCATTAGGGAACCGTCCGAGAAGAGAATCGAAGAACTATTTCTATATAGTAGGGACCGGCTCAGAATAATTACAGGGTTCCTAACCGGCCATTGTCCGCTTAGAGGACACCTGAATAAAATGTGACCTCAGCTGCAGATTATGCAACGAAGGGATAGAAACAACTCTACACATCTTATGCGAATGTGAGGCACTGAATTACAGGAGGCAGGCAATATATGGACGTACGAAATTACGTCCAGAAGAATATGACGAACATTCAACACGGAACTTGTACAAACTAGTACAGGAAACGATACTGATGGAATGGGTGTCATGAAAAGATGGGAGAATAAATACAATAAGCCCAAGAGACTGCAATGTATTCTGGAGACTTGGACTTAACGGACAAGTCAGACAGCTCCCAAGGTACTCCGCTGATAACCCCTCACGGTTAATGCGGTTATTTTGAAATAAAAAAATAATCAGCAAAGGAATAACTGCATATATATTTGAATTCTATTCATTTCTGAAGATAAAAGCAGATTTTGGTCTCCGAGTGTTGGATGAGTGTTGGATGAGTGTTGGATGAGTGTTGTATTATTCTTAGTTATTCTGTTGATTTGCAAAAATACTTTGTACTTACGCATTAACTAATCGAGGTGAACTGGAAAATTTGACCTTTCTACCCTTGTATAAATTTCTTCATTGAAATTTCCATATTCTCATGAAAAACTGATCCACGATCACAAATAATGACTTTCGTTCAATAATCAAGAAGTTTATTTCGAAAAACTCAAGTTCAATATTGAAGAAACAATCACTATAAATCCATATGAAAAACAACAATTGGAAAAATGAATCTCAGGAACAATAAGCACTTGACAATTTTTGATAAAAAAGCACAAATCTGATCATTATTATCTTCATCAATAATTCATAACTGTGGTTAGATTATTTTTCGATCAGACGCACAAATCTTTTTGTTGATGAATTGTTGCCCTGAACAGAAAATTTATGAATACTTTATAATCAAACAGAACGAACTGAAACATAAATATGGCTGACATAAACCAGTATAATGAGGTGTTTGAAAGAAAAGGTAAGTGAAAATTTCAGAAAAAATATTGTAACTGAATATGATTTAATATCTCTGTAATAATTTATACCAATTGAATGCAACAAATATACTCACTTGACTGCAAAAACAAAATCTGACAGATTGTAACAGCAGAAGAACGAAACATTCTTTCAAAACAAATATATTCATATTAACACTGAATTATATGAAAAACAATTTTCGCTACCCAGTTAGTATTGAAAATATTCGTTACTCAGTGAAAAGTAAAATTAGCACTAACATGGATCACTGTCATCTCCACCTGTCACAAGGCACTTGCCTTAGGGCTCTACAGTACCAATCTGGATAACAGCAAAAAGAAAAACACACAATTCATTCAATTGAATTGATTTGTTTTTCACTTAGGAAGGATAGAAAATCACCCTCCTTTGGTTGATACATAATGATTCGTAACAGCACCACGACATGAAGGAGCAATATTTCACTTTTTTTTCCAGTTTGTGTCTGGAAGTTACTTCTTTGGATGATCTATACATCTATGTATGGAGGTACTTTTTTGAAATTGATTGCTTTCTTCCTCTTTCTGGAAGGTTCATACATTTTTTGTATCAAGATGGAGTAGTAGAAAATCAAAAACTCTCTTTCTCATATCAAGTTCATATGTTTTAGGCAACTCGTGCGAAATTGTTCAAACACCTCGCAGAGAAGAAGAATATAAATTTTCATGAATTTTTGTAAATTGGTACAATCATTAAACTCATTCCACACCTCCTTAGCTCTACGCTGCTTCATTCACCAACCTACAATACACCATATAACTATTGAATTTTTCTTCAGAGAAAAAATAATGAAGGCAGCAAACACATAAGATTCACATGCTTTTTTTATCCTTCGGTAGATACGATAGATACGAGGTAACAGGCTTCATCATCATTTTTATATCCATGCATGCTTTTTTTAAAGCAATTTGAGGTGAAAAATCTATGAATGAGAAACCACGCTGGGGAGTTGATAACTACTGGATTATAAATCGCTTTGAAAGTTTTTTCTCAACTGGAGTCATAACTTGCTCTTCGGTCCATACATTTAAATTTGTGTCACGATAGATTGGTGCATTTGATGTAGTGAAATATTTGATTTCTTTCAAAATTTGTTTGCATTGGCAATTTCAAATCCACTTCCGAATGTTGTATTCACCTTTACTGTCTCTTAATTCTTCAAAACATTTCAGATTCTCTGTTTGAAGATAACTTTGCAATCTTCCATAATTGCATCAGAATTATTTTGTTTCAAATTGCCGATTATGCCAGTTCTAATTGTCAACTTAGGCTGCACCTATATTGAATCCGTATTTCTCCCGACCCGATGTGGGACGCCCCACGATCCGATGCAGTCCGTTGTAACCTACCTACACTGGACTCGGTTCGACCCGATAGGTTATCAGTTGAAGTTGTGTTTTGGGGGTAATTGTGAGTGACTCTGAAGATGATTTTTTGTGGTGGCTTAAAGAAGAAAAGAATTTTCTCCTTAATAGGAGACGTAGAAAAAATGTATGGGTGCATCAGTTTAATGAAAATAAATCTGAAGGGGAATTTTTCAAAAACTTCCCTACTCATAAGAAACTACCCGGATGAATTCAAGGACTACTATCGTATGCTTATGGAAAAGTTTTACTATATTCTTGAAGGCATAAAAAACGACATAACTGGCCAGTCTAACTCCAGAGCATGCATCAGCCCTTTTACCAGTGATTATTCCCCAATAACCCATCATAGTTCAGGCCTAATATCACTATTATAGTAATCCTTGTTTCGCTGATCCCACAAGCGAGGCTCTTCTCTCACAAGAATCATCAAAAACTTTTTATCAATTTTATTATTCATTATTATATCATTCCGTCGGAATTAAAGATCGGACTGAAAACAAACACTTTTGATTTGACTACTCGTCGGTCAGTAATCGGTAGTGATCGGTTATCGTCGTATCGGACTACCCTTTCCAATAGAGGCACCTACTTCAAAACTCAAGTGTTTTTCTTCCGATGTCGTCCGATGGTCGTCCTACATCGGGTCGGGAGAAATACGGATTTAATATAGATGCAGCCTTATATGCTGAAATGGAATTATTTCAATGTTCCCAGTGTTTGCTGTCTCTTATGCTTCCTTTAGCACTTCTACTGTCTTCTTATGTGTCTCAAAGTGGTTTCCATATGTTCCATTTCACCGACGCAGGAAGCATTCTCCAGAGCCTTACGAAGTTTCCGAGTCCCCTTGTTACATACATGAATTCCCTTTGCAACCTCATCAAATTTGATGAGGAAGTGGTTGCAAAGATTGATAACTATATTCATAAATCGAGATATGTGTAATATTTGATTATTTTCAAAATATTCAAATATCTGTAACAGAATGATTGGACTTCCCCCCATGCCCTTTCCCAATTCGAGTGCTGTGGGATGAAAACTTCGCCATACGAAATGAATTCTGTGATGAAAACTCAGTATCCCATTCCTTCCAACCCCGATCTTACGTGAGCGGTCCTCAATCCTCAGTCCACAGTCCTCAGTCCTCAGCATGGACGTCTCAACAAAATCGTTGTGGAGCTAGAATACGGCTGCAGCGACTTGCTGCTGAAAGGGCAAATGAGCTCACCTGCATTGAGCGCCGTTGTGAAACATCGTCTGATGATGTCGATTGGCTCCATGGAGACCAAGTTGATACAGACTTCGTCTGCTCTCCGGATGCCACTAATGAAAGAATCTGAATGGCTGGCAATAGAATAGAGGAGCAGTAACTTCAATTGAATTATTTTTTCACATAGCTACATTGTTTTGTTTTCCTTTTTCTTTCGGGTTTCTACGGAAGTCTTATTTTCCTTCGTTTCCATATTGTCGTTTTCAGATAAGAGTCGAACCTATTACTGGTATCGGATTATTCAGTTGGCTACAGTGGTTTTGGCTTAAACACTTTTTCAAGAGAAGTGAACCCTTGAATGTTGGTAGTTTCCGGAAATCTTCTTTGGTTCTGATTTCTAGTTCGTGTGTGACTTTAGTATTTTCAATAAATTTTCCAGTCTTTGGACTTCCTCGTTAATTTCTTCGTTGTATTATTTTTCAAAATACGCATTTACAGCTTCTATTTGGGCTAGTTGAATAGCCATTTGGAAAAAGTCACTGAGTTCTACTAGTGTAGTGCAATACACTGTGTCTAAGATGAGAATGAACAGCTGGGGGATAACGGAAACGATAAGTGATACGGGGTAGATTGAACTGAGAGAAAGTAGCGCATTTATGTGACTAATAATATGTCATTTAGGAAATTACAATATTCCGAGTAGATTCGAAGTTATCCAAGGAAAAACCAGAATTTGAGAATTTTGATTTTATTTTTACCTAGCTTTATTTTCAAAGGAAACGTAAAGCAAATAGCAACTTGCCATAGTCACTTTGGAAGGACTACACGATAACGTGAACTGAATTTTTTTACGGCGTTTCATCTTTTACAAAACATCATAAAATTTGTATTTTTATATGGGCCGAAACTGAAGTATACCCTGTATATGACTCCATTTTTCATTGTGAATACTATAACGTATCACACGATATGATTTCATAACCATTTCTTACGCGAAATGAAAAGTAATTACCTACTTAACCTGCTTTTCTTCAATTTTAGATAGTACGCGCTGGAAAAAAATGTCATATGTTGATACATAAAGTGAATTGATTAGTCTTATTTATAATAAATTTCAACCTACTACCTGCCGGAATTTTCGCATTGTTCAAGTTCAGTTCATAAAATGTTATTGTAATGCAATAACAAGGAGCTAATATGTATTATAGGAGATGTCGGGTTCAAAAAACCCGACATTATTTTTTAAGCACAAGCGCTCGTCTCACAGACGAGCGTACATGTGGATGCAATAACTAATTTTAGCAAATCTACTTCATTTCAAAAATTATGAGAATACACTTGATTCTTGATATTATCTTCAAAGGAAAAAGTCTGTGCTGGAAAGCGACGGTTCAAATAATCACAAACAATTCTAGCGTTATGTGATGGAGCACCATCTTGCTGCTGAAAACAGCAGCTGTGAGTAACCGCTAAAGGCAAATTGACTAGAGCGTCTTCAAAATCATTTACTAACAAATTTATGTACCGCTCTTTTGTTAATTGTTTCGATAGATTAAATGCCCTATTACATTCGTACCGATAATCCCAACTCTCATGTTAAAATCGAAACGATGTTGATGTCTGGACACTACGCAAAGTGTCCACGCGGATTTTGTTGTGACCAATAATGAACATTCCGCCTATTGAAAATGCAATTGTTAGTGATATTACTTGTTTCAAAAATAAGCCATACACTACAGAGCCAGCTTAGGGAAGTCCAATAGACAATCTCGAGAATTCGAAAAAGTCTGGAGTTCACGAAATTTAATGTAAGGACATCTATTAAACTAGGATATAAGGAACACTTAGCACACTTATAATATAGAAGACCTGAAAAATCAGCAGTCGCCCAACATATTTTGCATCAAAACTATTCCATATGTTTCAGTTCATTAGGATTAGTTAGACAAGTTAACAGCAACAGGCATCTAGATATTTATGAGAGTAAAAATAAGTAAACATGATAATAATATGAATAACACTGATGAACCGATACCTAATAATATACTTTATAGCTTGTTAAAATAATATTTTATTTATTAGATGTACCTTACTATTACATAAGGACATATTGTGAAATTAAATAAGTAAGTAGATAGGGCGATTTTGAAATTAATTTTATATAGCTCATGATATTTCAATCATTAGATTCACATAACAATGTAAAATTAATTCAAGACAAGTAGAAAAGACAAATTGTAAAATCAATTTGAGACACTCAAGACGCAAGTACCTACAACAGGTATATACCCGTATCTATGTATGATATATTTGTATACCTGTATGGTATGAATAAGGATAGCTTTGTAAGTATGATTAATTTAATTTTTCTCTTGAAGATGATCACTT